TCTAGAGAATCCCTAGAAGACATCTTAAAGAAGATCCGAAAAATCTAGACCGCATACGAATAAAATAATCCCAAATGGTCGTATTGCAATATTGATATATCTTTTAAATCATTATCATTATAAATAGAGAAATTTATATACTATAGAATAACGGAAAATAAATATTTGAAAAAATCTATAATGAGAAAATCGATGATCAAATAATATTTAAGATCGTATATGAAATATGATGAATTATCAATATCTCAATCTCGCACGTATCATATAGATTCTGAAAGATTTTAGATTTCCGTTTCGACGCTTCCCATTTCGCCGAATCATTCGAAATCTTGAGAATTTTTTTGGTCACGAGGTCCCTTCATCTCGCGATTTCCCGCATCCAACCCAATCTTTTCCCACCAAAAATCTCATTTAGGCTATTTGCGCGGCGGCTCGAGAGAAAACATGAAACTCTATCGGTCAAATTTCAAATTCTGAAAGCTTATCTTCCTCCAACCCTAATATATATCCCTCTGCTCATTTATATTTATGCTAATTATTGAAAAATCTTAAAATTCACCCCAGATAATTTCTGCGCCGCCGCGGAAATATCTATATGCGAAAGAAATATATCGAAATATCAAGAAATTTCAGATCGCATATCTTTCGCATGCAAATAAATCTTTCTATTAATCTCTCTTACATTATAAACGCATCGATATTGCTGGCTTATAGATTCTAAGAGATTTTAATTCTTTATCCCGCCTCCATATATTCCGCCGAACAATAATATAAGTAGCCAAAAAGAAATAAATCATTCCAAAAATCTCTCCGGTGGCAAAAGCCGCGCGACCAAAAATCTCTAAGAAATTTAGTCGTCCCATTCGCATCAAGAAATCTCGAAGATTTTAGAATCTCCTATAGCAACACGCATTTTTTACCGCAAATAGTCGCCTCGTAATATTGAGGTATTCAGCTATTTGAAATAATATTTAGAATATGCCCAATCAAATATCTGATTCTTCTCAATAGCTATTTCAATAGATAAGAAACGAATTCTAAATAAATATTATAAATAATTTCATTATGAGATATCATACTATGATAAATCATTTCCTGGCATGCCTTGGGATCGATCTTTATTTGACATAAACTTCAATTTTTTCTCACACGTCGATAGGAATTGCGGATACATTGCCGCCAGCACCAGGTGCCATCCACCTCAGTGCGCGCAAATGGGTGTCGTATGGGGGTTGTCCCAAAATTACGGTATGAGCCCATTTTGGGCATATATGCTATTGCGGCGCCTTATACTTAGGCATAACAAAATGGGACCCTAATTCTGGGAACCACCCATGTGATGCTGTCGCTCTCTCTCTCTCTCTCTCTCTCTCACAATCGCTACAGTATCTTCATGGCTTATGTAGCTTTCATAGGCCTAGGTCCCTACACCAAAGCTCTTCTGGCAGCCTTAGGTCTAGAATGTTGTCTCCGATTGCGAGCTCTGAAATCTTTCGGGTGGAAATGGTGCTCCACTGCAACTAGTTCAGGGAATGTTTAAGCTGTCGGTCAGCGTCATCGTCAGCGAGCTTGCTTACGCATCATGGTCTGCGAGTGTTATGCTGGCAAAAAATTGAGCCTTTCGGGATCTACAAGTACCACTGAGCTACCGCGAATGCATGCTAAGGGATTGCCTGGGCCCAACATTGAGATCTCTTTGCTGTGACGGGATGAAGGAAACTGGAGATTCTATTTCAAACGCCAAATACACTTACAGAAGCCGCAAGTCTCACAGCACTCACCAGCCCTCAACTCTGCACCCGTGACTGCAGGCATCGACTCACACTTTGACGTCCCAGGCGCATCTTGTTCTGCCGGAACCTCAGCCGCGTCTTGCACAAGATCTTTTAGTTGCAGAGACGGTGGCTGTGAGACAGGGTAAGTCATAGTGTGGGGCTTTGGCTAGTTATCTTGCACAGGACAATCCTGCTAACTGTCGTTCTTTCAAATCAAAAGCAACCTTCGTGAGAGCCCGGCCTACCCTTGACTTCAAGCTTGGGAGAGCACGAGAAAGCCAGTCGCTCTTGAGCAAGGACGTCTGCACCGAGAATGACCTGACATCCCCAAAGACAGAAGCATCAAAAGCCTCCGGAAGTAGGGACAACATGTGTTCCAGCTCAGCAACCTGAAGTGCAATCAGCTTCAGGCGCTTGTGCCCAGAAATCTTTCTTCAGAAGCCCTGAAACAGGCCGGCGGAGACGGTAGGCCACTCAGTGAGCTTCATTGCCTGCCGCACAACGGCATGAACTCGCATCATCTGAGCCGTGCAATTGATCGGCTCGATAGGCCTGTACCATTGCACTCAGACTGAAACCGTTTCAGACCGCTTTGAAATGGGCTCTGAAAGCGAAAAGCCCTCAAGCTTTCACGCGGCGAGGTCCACTTAACATTGTGACCCAGTCGGGATGGACGCCTCGAAGGGTTCCAAGTCGCCCGCTAAAGCTGTACCTGCACCAGGCTTGTCAGCAAACATCAGCAGCCAACAGGGTCTCAATACGAGCCCCTATCCAATCCCTGATGAGCAGCCTTGCATTCTTCTGGTTTGCCGTCTTTGTGGGTCAGACCTTCCCCAATCCAAAAATTCTGCCAAGTAGCTGAGCCCCGAATCAGGTCAACAAAATTACCAACCTCAAGCCCGGCAAGCACCAATCCTGCCTTCTCGCACAGCGAAGCGAGGCCTTCAGTCATTGAGTTCCGCACATACCAACCAAGTGCAGCATAGAATTGAAAGTTCAGGGAGCTGCTTTCAATATGCTGCTGGGCTAAGGCTCAGGCCCGTTGCCGATGGCGAAGGTGGCAGGAACTTCCTCTGGAGTCTTGCTAGACCTGTAAAATGCACGCGCATCTGGAAAGCCATTGAAGACAGCAAGGGATAGGATCATCCACGCTGGCCCGCAACTGGCAGTGCTTTGAGAGTTATCTTGGCACCTCTTCTTCTTCGACTCCTTGATAGTCAGGCCCCCTCCAAAGCCGGTGGACTTCTTCTGAGGTTGCTCCTCAAGGCATCTGCTGCCATGCTAATGTGTCAACCGCTATCTTGGCCAACGTTGGGATCACATGTGAACCTTTCATCAAGCTGTAGGCTAGTTTTAATTAAGCCTTTGGCTACTGTAACGGAAACGATGCTGAGAATGCCCAACATTTTGAGCGGTGTCGCTGCCCTTTCCAGGTGCTACTCCGAGCTCAAAACCCTACCTGTAGCATCTGGCACGAGGCGCCGGCTAGCCTCAACTCCATGCAGTAGCCAGGAAACATAGCATGATCGTACGCGAACAACCCTCCATCTATCAAGCACCCATCTGGGACTCTTTTTATGTGCGACGGGGACTGGCGCTGGCTTCGCTGACCAACGCACAACTAACGAGCCCGATGTTCAAGCTCGGCAGCCTGCAGTTTGTCTGACATCCGCCTGCCCCTATATGACAATTACTGGTAGTCACCGCATTTATCAAAGGCCTGACTATCACGCATCCTTCCAGGCTTTGAAGCCCATGATCCATGGAGTTTGCATGCTTGCAAACTGCCATGCTGCTTGGGACGAAGCATCTGCGAACAACTTGTCTGCGGCAATGGTACCAAACACCGTGCATCTTCCTTTCAACATCTAATGACTTTGTAAAGAACCAATAAGTTTACAACTTGCCAGTTCAGGAAAGTTCACAGGTGCTCTGTTTTGTCTTGCTATGTACATTCCTTACAGACTTTTACTTTGTTTCAGCTTGCTGCAGCTCTGTGCAGCACGGTGCCATCCACAGGTCTGCCACAAGCTTAACGTCCTCGTTCACATCAGGTCGCCTGCAGGTTCAGTTGTTTGCGTGGAGAATCTATGGCTTGAATTGTTGTCTCATGGATTATCTGCCGAAGACACATGGCCCAGCATTTCAGACGGTTCAAACTGTATCTCTCATCTATTGGTTCCCTCCTGCCTGTGCTCTCACCTACGAGTTCTGCAGACATGTAGCCTGACCTGTGTCTGCGACTTTCAGCGTTAGTTCCTGGAGTCAACTGTAGCCCTAGTAAATATCCTGGAACTTGCGGAGCAAAAGCTGACGAGGCAAAAGCTTGATATTAGACGTCAAGAAAAAACACAAACCACAGGATCAGGAAAAGCAAAGACATGCAAACAACAAAAAATACAAGTTCGCGTAGTAAAAACCATACAAAAAGCAGCAAGCGTTGTAGGATGTTGTAGGACCACATCTTGGCAGGCGCGAGCAACGAACCACCTCAATCAGCTTAAAGCAACACTGCCTGCCGGGCCGAGGTCTACTTCAGCACCTGGGCACTCCGCAGGCTTCGAAATCAAACACGCTGAGCTGATTTGGAGAGTGATACTGGAGCATACTTCATGAGCGCCCGCTTTAGCTGCTCATGCACTTTAACAAGCTACTTTCAACGGCTTACAGTAGCCAACTGCCAAGGAGCATTTGGACAAAGGAAGCCGAAACAAGAAACTTCCTCCTTGACGATGGTGTACCTCAGCCAATGCTTAGGCTTGCAACCTGGCTAAGTCTCCGTGGCATACTCCTGCCACAGCCCGGCATCCAAATTTACAGTTGGGCTACGATGCGGCAAAACCTAATCCCTAGACTGTGGTCTGCATCCGAACCCTAAGATCCACAACAAACCCAAACCCTGGGCGCAAAATTTCGAATATTGTCATCGCCTTGACATAATGCAAGACTGCGTGGGGATTCAAACATAATTTACATCCGAACCCGTCCGCGTTCTTGCCACAAATATTACAGAATCCCTATATACTTGCACTTAACAGGTCTTAGTCCTGCGGGATCTGTACTGCAAGTGTGCCGATTATCGATTCCTCTTAAGCATTAACAACTATCTGAAAACCAGCGCAATTTGCCTGTACTCCAAACACGACCACAAATTCCTCCACTACCACAAGCAGCACCAGCATCAGTGCTACCACCAACACAGCACCACATCCATTACCATCACAACTAAGGTAGCCGAGACTGAGGAACAACTGGCATTGTGCCAATGATGCCGGGAAGCAGAGGTGCCTCACCCGTGGCAGACTTCGTGGAGATGGCAATCTCCAACAGCCCTGCAGCCTGAGAATGCTTAGCATGCTGTCTGGAAAATGCAACACCTTGTTACTCAAATACGTACGTACGCAAGTATTTGCCATGACCAGCACACGTGGCACAGTTCCAGCTCCTCTTCTGATTCTAAATTGGCTACGACAAGCGTGCTATTGAATACCACAAGTCCGTCTGTTGACGCGCAAGGCCACATGGAGCATGAGCCGCGAACGCAGACAAGATGCATGTCTGAAACTTGCCTTAGGCGCGTGCCTCGAAATCCAAGGTCACAGACTCCAAGGAATCGCACTGCTGGTCCACTCCAGTCACCACTTTGCTCTTCCCTGACGCGAAACTGCCCGCTGGTCAAATAAAAAATATTTCCACAGGCAAATGCACAAAACATGCAAACGCACAAACACATCAGACTAAGATGTCGGCGGAATCCTGTACAGAACCGCGGCCGGCGATGAAGAATCTGTGGATCTGAAAGCATGGATTCGTCAGCTTTCACGGGCAAAGCAAGCTCGAACTTCAGCTTGCTGGTGCACTTGCCCTTCTCCTTAGTTTTCAGGCTTACTTTGGCAGGTACGAGTACTTCAATCCAAGCTGGAGCTGATTCGACTTATTCCAGCAAAGGCTCCCGAAAGACGTCGTTCTCTCCGACGCTCTCTACGCAGAACAATCCTTCGGTGCGGAACAGCCGTTACAGCTTGGACACAGCAGAATTTTACCTCGCGAGTGCTGAACAGAGCTGGTTGTTGGTGAACCAACAGGTTCTTGCGCCAAACTGGCCAGCCCTCAACCTCCCGTACTCCACACTTATCCCAATTCCCTTGCTGCCAGCGTCGGTCGCCCACCGCGTGGTTCGCAGCTTGCCGGGCACCGAAGCGAGCAACCTGCCAAGGAATTAAGGAGCTGCTCTCTGAAGCTAGATGAAGCCGCTCTTGACCGATGCAAGTATGACTGCTTGATATCAGTCTAGCCAGATGGATGCACTGGGAAGTTGCTCTGCAACATCCTGGAAGCTGCCTGTCATGGGGCGTGCGGTTAGATTATGTGGAGTCCAATGTAGACATTGCCTGAATCCTCGGCGCAAAATCCTAAGCGCCAAAGTCTACCGCAATTCGCCCCGGCCCACCGCGATGAGATCACCGGTGTCGCAATCCTCAGTTGCCATCCCGTTCGGTGCAGTGTGCCTCTGCGGCCGGTTGGTCTGTGCCGTTCTCTGTGCAACAACTTTGCGACAATGGTTGCCATGCCGACAGGAGGCAGCCTGCATCGAAATCTTCGTCCTCTCCCTTGTTCGGTCTTGACCCACACAAACCTCATCTGCTTCTTCCTACACTTACTGTGCATGATTGCCAAATGGCCGTAGGTTGCCATGCAGCCAAAAGAACTTCTTCAAGCTAGCCCGTTTGTGGTGTGGAGTGCCAGTGTGACTAGTTACCGACGGACACACTGTCTCACGACCTGGAAGCAAACGCGCCCTCCGTTGTGATGGTGTGCGTCACTTCCCTCTGATGTCAGATCAAACTTTGCCGAGTTTCGCTGAGACTGGCAGTAGGTTCGGCTGGGTCAACCGGGCTGAAGCCTAGGTTGGCATAGCACTTTTCCGACCCAGCAACTATAGCCACCCGGCCTTTTTCTGAAGGCCAAGTCTCCTTGCATGAGGCAGGTCTGCACGAAGCTCAACCCCATGAGTTGCCAATGTCAGCCCAACTGCATCAACCCAGATGCATGAAGCTCCAGTCTGACCTCCTGCTTTTGCCGAAGTGAGCCGAGTTGCTCAGCTCTTGTTTGAAGCCATCGCCCTCACCTCTCCAGGATGTTCTGGGGCTCCGGGGTTCAAGGCACAAGGCTTCAAGGCTTTCGGTTTAGTTTTCCTTGAGAGAGGTTTTCAGGGTTAGTGATTGGCTGACTAGCTGCTGGAAATCAGCTTGATTCGCTTGAGCAGAGTAGTCTCAGCAGTAGAGATTTGACTGCAGCATTTCACAGCAGAAGCAAAATCACACTAAGAACTGCTGCAGTAGGGTTCCTCACGCAAATCTCAAAATGACACCACCACGCACAATGGAGAACCCAGTTTTTGAGGTGGATGAGGAAAGTGCAAGAACTGACATCCGTCTTGAAACCGTCTGTACTCACACTCAATCTTAACCTTGCTGTGATCATGCATGGCTTGATTATGACCATGCTTACGAGCCCCCAAGGCCCAAGACGATGCCTGCTTATCGCACCATTCCCAACCCTCCATCATCTTGATCTCGACGAACAACACCAGTTCATAAAAGTTCTACATGTTTCCTCTCTGTTCTTGCTAATTTGACTGTAGACACACAACTGCTAGGAATGGCATGATTTGTGCGCCGCGACTCTCGCGATAATGTGTACGACTGCTCTTTTACTGTACTTACTTAACCCCTGCACTGAATTCTTTGCGGAGCCAAGGCACAGGTCTTCTGCGGAAGGGCTTTGGAGAAAGAAGTCTCCTGACACAGATGGCATTCAGGGGTGCAGACATCAGAAGTTAGGCCCTGCAAAGCTTTCAGCTCGATGGTATGGGGGGGGGTATGTATACCCTCTGAAATGAGGCCACGAGCTTAAGGACAGGCAAAAACGAAGCGCACCACCCAAGCATCATGCACTATTATACAAAACAAGCCAGAATCTCACTGGCCGCTTTTGCTGAGCTCTGAGTAAGGTATCGTCTCCAAAAGGAAAAATCCTTTTGGGCGTGTTGGATGGTCTGAAGAGACGGAAGAGGGTGAACAGCCTCTTCTTTTCCTCAAGCACGGTGAAAAAGGTGATTTTGGTCATGCCAGGCCTTTAAGGCCAAGTGAGCTCAGTTTACGGAAGATAGGTCTCTTGCCCAGTCCCGAAAACTGTAAGCAGCGCGACAGATTGTACGAACATAACACAGTGCCGTCACTTTGACCACAGTGCTGCTGTGCTGGCGCGAAACCCGTCTGACTTTGGGGCATGTTGGATTGTCTGAAAAGATGGAGAATGGCCAGCCCTATTCTTTTCTCCCTTAGCGGACTAAGAACGGATCTTGGTCACAACAATCAGGGCCAGCCTCCAGGGGCGGGCGTCAGCCTGTCGTGAACTTCTCTTGCTTGTGCCGGTCGGTCTCGTGCCCAGTCCCCGAAGCCGAACGCGGTGCTGCAGTTTTTCAAGACGCCGTGAATTTGACCGGGAGGCCGCTACTGCAACATCGGCTGCGCTGGTGTGAAACTGCTTCCCATCTGACTTAAATGACTTCTGCTACGACTTTCCGTCTCGTCAGTCTCGTCTTACCGGGGAGAGCCTGACTGTTCCTTGACGGCAGGCACCACTTCTCATATTGGCTATATCAGGGTGCCTCATTGCCAGCGGCGGAGGCACGTGCAAGAATTTGTTGCGGACATCAACAAAATCTACAATCTAGCACAGGCTTGGCAGACACAACTCCAAATGAGCTATGGTTTAAACTCCTAGTACCCCCTTGAAAAGCCCTATAATTACTACTCCCCTATCACAGTCCCCTATATCATACCCTATATAACCCACTTTTGAGGAGCTTAGACTATAGCTCGGATGGCTTTAGAAACCCAATTCCCGAGGCTCGTCCTCGGACTGGCCTTTGCGCGTGCCCACACAGAACGAAGAGCCCTCATTTGCGAAGAAGGTGCCTCGGCGCTTTAAGCAAACAGTGATTGGGGTTTAGGTTTTAGAGTCCGTCCGGCAGTAAGAACCTGCTGCAGAATGCAACAGATGTTTAACTTCATGTCAGGTAGGTAGGGGAGATTCTAGCAGGAGCCCAAGGTTGGTTCACTCACATCCACAATCAAACTTTGAAAAGCCATCTGGCCGATGGATCCGGGAGGTCATGGACAGGTTATTTGGGGAAGCTATGCTATGAGAATGCTATGAGTGACGCCCATGTCAATTCTTAGCCATCCTGCTTGCACCTGTAGACTCGAGGCCAAGCAAATCTTCCCGTCCATCCCTTCCCCAACCAAGCCTCCATGCAGCCACTTCAGACCCTGCCAGTTGCCAGGGCAGGCGGTGCCTGAACGCGTGGCTCGACGGTGGATTGGGGAGGTGTTCTGGCCCATGCGCCCCGCTACCAATCACGATGAGCTGAGTTGACTACTTGCCTAGAAATCTATTCACTCACAGGTGGCTGTGTGCCCGGGTCCCTTTCCTTCAATTTCTTTCCGATTGGTGACAAGTACCCAGTAGACTCAAAAAAGACAGCATGGAAAAGTGCATGATACCCATGAGCGCCTTTCACGAAGATCTGAGTCCAGTGCTTCTCATTATCGCACCAGGAAACCGCCTGCACAGAAGGCAGGATGGTTTCAAAGTCCAAAAGCGGTATCTGGTCGAGACATATCAAGCAGTCCAGAGCATGACCCACACCACTATGGGGCTGTTGGATCTTCGTTTGACAGGTTGCTTCTCTTAATGCAAAGTTGTCGATGAGAGACATATGGCAACCCAATGTAGACGGAAATCTTTCGCTGCACAGTCAACTTAATTAAAGTCAGCTTTGGACTCCTTCGCGCTTCAGGTTAGGTGCCGCTTTGTGCCAAGAAAGATTCCCTGGTATGAGGGCTCAGCGTCTTAGACAGAGTCTACCTACTAGGACCTACCCAAAACTAATAAAGCTTTATCAGAGGGACACCACAAACAGACTCATAATCTCCAGAATCCCCTCACCACAACTTCTTACCAGGCCTTCGTGCCAGGCTTCTGGGAGGCATAGGCGCGCCAAAGGCCGCCCTTCACCTGCATGAATCCCTCGTGCAGCACACACACCCCGCTCTGCATTGCAGGTGTACGTACTTTGGCATGGTACACGTTTACGCAAGAGCTTAAGAGACTTGTTTTGAGGAGAATAGGAAATGGCTTGCCTGGGGGCCAGGGAATACCTGCAATATCAAGAGGATTTCATAAACAAAAAAACTTCGCACAAGTCGGCTGGGTGATATTGGGAACCTCCCCTGCGATCGGACTACTTCTTTCGCGAAAGCTACATAGCAATACGTAGCATTAATCGGCTTAAGTCTTCTCAGCTTAACCGCAAGGGCCAACCTTGAACCTAAACATCTGCAAAGCTATGAGACAACTCCAAAACGTTCACGCTTTAACGTTCACTGGAACCATTCCGGTCAGCAACAAACTCCAAACAATTCAAGAGATTCCAGACACCTGCGTCCTCTACAGTGAAAGAACAACTGCAAAGGAATCCAAAGCCGGCTGCCTGATTCCAGCCGCCGCCACAGCTCTCACCAAGATGAATACTGTACTTTGGGCCTGAAGGGCAGCTGCAGCTTAGAGAAAAATGCGCTTGGCCGGCATGGCAAGCCCCTGCAGCACAACGCAGTGCATTTTCCGACTCTGAGGTCAGGTCCTTCGTGTTTCCAGTTGGAGGTGCAGATGCCTCTTCATGTGCAAGAGACATGTGGCACGCACGCATAAGACGGAAAGAAGCTGGAGAAGTCCTGGCACAACTTCTGCCGAGCTGCTGTAGAAGGTCGGGGGATTCATGAAGCTCTTGGTCTGTTGGAAGGCCTGCCCAAGGAAACCCGCAATCAACAACCACGGAGACATGTTGTGCCTAGGCTGCCCGCACCTTTTCTGAGACGTGCATTTTGAGGTCTCCATGGAATCATGCGCAGTTGTGCTGAGCACTCAGGACTGGGGATGCGCAACTATGACATATTATTGTCTGTCCAAAGATTAATGGCCTCTTCTAGATGCAATTGGTAGATTCCCAAAAATAAGGGGATCCCAATATAGACCCCAAAATACTATAAGTCTGCCCCCAGAAATGTATCCCCAAATTTTGGGAAACGCCCCCCAATCAGAGATGACAGAGTCTTCTGCCTCCAGAATCTGCGATGCAGGGCGTGGATCTGCCACAATTAACCCCTCAGAGATTGGCAAATGTGTGCTGGGGTTAGTAGGAAAAAGGGAATAGAGTTTAGGGTTAGTAGGGAACAAGGGAATGCACCATGTAGGGTTATATGGGGATAATGGACAAGAAAATGGACCCTATTTTTGGTTTGGGGTCAGCAGGGAATAAGGGGCTATTTTTTGGGATTCTGCAAGGATTACATCCCCTTTCCCTACTAACCACCAGTAAGAATGCTGGCCCCGGGAAGCACCCAAGGTGGGGCCCAGCAAGTGAGCTCAAAACTGCTCTCCTCCACGGCACAGCAGTTACAGGCTCACAAGGCTTCCAATGGCATATGCAGGCAGTAAGCAAGTACCCAAGCACTTGCACTGCCGACTTTCTCAAACAGCCCTGGCTTTGCTGGTCTTCACTTGCACTTTGCGGGTTCAGGAAGCTTTACAAAACTTCTAGCGCAGCTTATTGCCATGCAAGCCTGCTTGAGGACTTTCTGATACAACATTGTGACAATCACTACAAGTCTGATGCGACAGGCTCAACCTGACTCGGGAGGAATGTATGACAATCAACCCTTGGAGTACGCACTTTCCCTTTTTGTCCCGGCCATCAATCCACCCTGGCATGTAAGCCAAACCCAGGATGCCACCCGAGCTGCATCTTCTGAGGCACTTCTCAAGGACCTCAGGTAGATGACGAGTAGCCGCGCCTCCTTGCACAAAAGCACTGTTCTTCATATGCTCTACGCAACACTGTGCAAATCCAAATCGGCGCAGCCATGCGCATTCAAAGCTTCAACAATGGCCACATTGACAATACAAGCCAAAAGCAAGGCTGGCTTAGATACAACTTCTAAACCCTTCTTTTGTTAAAAAGGTTTCGGGTGCACCGTTTTAACCCTGGCATGCAAACAGCTTCCAAGGAAGATCCTGACCAACTATGATGCAGTGTCGACTCTTCCGTAGTGCGAAGCAGAATGGACAATTTGAATTCGGACTGTGACCCGTCCTCTGGACTGAAGATCTTGGCAAACTGCGTACGCCTCATATGAATGCTTGCAGAACGTCCTTTCCGGCAACATCACTTCCTGCTTCAACTGAGAAGGTCTGGCTGCCACTTGCCACCCAGACTGGTCTGCTTTGACCTTCTGCTACTTCAGCAGAGGCACCGATCGATGAGCAGAAAGTTGGATGTTGCTGCTCCCGGGCACTGCGCCTGCAAACTTCAGGTCTTCCACGCGCAGCATTATGGTGCGGGCCACCAGGAGTCGTGAAAGAATAGTATTTGCCTCAAATAGATCTGAAGCAAGGAGCCCAATCTTGATGATTCCGCATATCTAGTCCAAAGATGTCCTAGGTGGCATTCCTTGAAAGCCCTCAAAACTCCTCAAAACGCCTGTCCCTCCAGCACCAGTGCCGCGGCACGGTTCCGCAGCGCCTGGAGTGAGAAGTACAAGGTAGGTAGCGGTTTTCCTGTGGTCATCAAGCATGTATTTATCGCTAATATAAACCCTAAACCGTATCTATATATATATATATAGATATACAGACACATATATGTATATATGTATATATATATATACGTATGCATANNCCCCCCCCCCCCCCCCCCAAAGCTACAGCATGGTTCTGAAAGGACCAGCTCATTAGCATCTCGGAGCTTAAGCTGCGAAAGCCACATTTGCACTGCTTTGCCCTGCCTCTATGTCCCAGGGGATGGGCCCATCCCCAAGGCGCTTCAGCACCCACCCTGAAATCGTTTGGGTTTAGGGTTTAGGGT